GCAGTGCAGGCAGAGAGCTCAGGTGGTGGGGGGGAAGCAGTGAAGTGTAGGCAGAGAGCTCCCAAGGCGACCTCATTGTGCCAAGTGAAGCCCAAAGCACATAGAATTGGGCCCAGCTCCCCTGACCCGCCTAGGAAAGCTTCCTTTATACCCTGACAGGCTTTAGCCCCACACATAAAGGTTTAGCCCAGAGGTGGGTCTGGTCCAGCTGGCTTCCCTTCCTGGCCCTACAGGGTACTCTACCCTATTTTGAAATAACTAGCGCTATTCTGAAATGAAATAACTTAGTTTGCACCTACACAGCAGGTACTTATTTCAAAATAGTGTCAAAATACTGTCAAGCTGGAGGACTTCTTACTCTGACTCATGTAACTCATTGTTAAGAGAAGGAATAAGGGAAGTCAGAGGAAGAGTGTTCTATTTAAAAAAATGCTGTGTAGATACTCCCTATTTCGAAATAAGCTATTTTGAAATAAGATATGCAATTGACATAGCTCGATTTACATAGTTTGCTTTTAGTTAAGCTCTGTCATGTAAACACACTCACAGTGCCCAGGCTGTTGTGTTGGAAACCATCCAGCCATCAGTGACTCTGAGTAGCATCCATGCACACACCTCCACCTCTGCCAAAATTTGAATTGCTAAAAAAGGGTGTCCCTTGCCTGCTTTTGTGCATGACACCTCCATGTACCCCTTGCTCCCACAAGGAAAATGCATTGAGTGATATGACAGGACTCCCAAAGGGTAGAAAAGCTCTAAGGAGAATTACCCAGTTCTGCAAACAGTTCTCTAGTAACTCTGTATGACAAGAGGTGCCACTAAATTCAGTGGAATTACTCATGTGTATAAGTGATAGCCAAAGCTGGCCTTAAGGGACCTACTGATATTATTTTGGAGTAAGCTGAAGCATTCTAGCAATGTACAAGTGTCCCAGGATGTTGAGGTATTAAAAAGAATGGCAATCCTCCTTTTTAAATCATCCAGTTTTTTCTTCAAATTAAGAAGTGAAAGAATTATAAAATGTCTGCCATAATTAGAAAAATCATAAGTGTGAGTGTCTGAGAAATAAATAGGACAGGATCTGATTTTTCACTATTGTGCACCTTATGCTGCCATTTGTACCTGCTCAAACTGGATGTAAAATGGTGCCACTCTTTTCCTAATGGAATAGCGATAGCCAGGAATTCTCTAAACATAATCTGTGATGAGACACATGAAATAGGATGATGGGGATGCCACTTCATAGACTCATAGACTTTAAGGTCCGAAGGGACCATTATGATCATCTAGTCTGACCCCCTGCACAGTGCAGGCCACAAAATCTCACCCACCCCTCCTAGAATAATCCTCTCACCTATATCTCAGATATTGAAGCCTTCAAATACTTTGAAGACCCCAAGATGCAGAGAATCCTCCAGCTGTGATCTGTACCCCATGCTACAGAGGAAGGCGAAAAACCTCCAGGGCCTCTGCCAATCTACCCTGGAGGAAAATTCCTTCCCGACCCCAAATATGGCGATCAGCTAAACCCTGAGCATGTGGACAAGACTCATCAGCCAGACACCCAGAAAGTTCTCTATAGTAACTCCTATCATCCCTCCATTGACCTATTTCCCACTGATAATAAATGGTCAATTAGCTACCAAGATCATGTTATCTCATCAAACCATCCCCTTCATAAACCCATCTAGTTTAATCTTGAAACCAGATAGATCTTTTGCCCCCACTACTTCCCTTGGAAGGCAGTTCCAGAACCTCACTCCTCTAATGGTTAGAAACCTTCGTCTAATCTCAAGTCTAAACTTCCTACTAGCTAGCTTATATCCATTTGTTCTTGTGTCCACATTGGTATTAAACTTAAATAATTCCTCTCCCTCCCTGGTATTTAAGCCCTGTTATTTTATTATTACTAGCACTTGTTCTCCAGTCTATATCTGGAAAGTTGAAATCTCCCATGATTACGCAGTTTCATGAATATTTACTTCGTTAAAAACATTAAAGAGGTCTCTATCCATGTCCAAATTGGATCCTGGTGGTCTATAACACACCCCAAGCACTATCCCAGGGGAGGATCTGATAGTTTTCTTCCCCAATGTGATTTTTGCCCAAACGGACTCTGTCTTCTCCATTCCATCACTTTTTATTTCTTTACAATCTACCTCATCTTTGATATACAATGCGACTCCACCACCTTTACC